ATATGTTTTTGGAAAGAGATTCCCACTGTCCTGCTCACACCACCATGTTGACTCCTCCTGTCGATTTTTTATATTTTTATATTTAGAAAATATGTTTCTAATAGAATGATCACAGCAAAATTGTTACAATTAAAATACTGCCCTTGGAAAGGAAGTTATTGACAAAGGGATGACGTGTAAATACTGACACATTTTGAAAGCATTTGAATTAACTTGATTTTCGTTTTAATTACTTTCTGCTAGTCAAAATGTTGTGTTTTGTTTCTTTTTCTCACTCTTGGCTAACTCTTGTGACTGAGGTTGTTGAGTGTCTTACATTGTAACTACCTATCTCTTGAAGACTTCACCTGCCCTTGAGAACACTGAGGGAATTGTGAGAAATGAGTTTCTCATATCTGAGGGAGAGTGCAGAGCAAAAGAATATTTTCATGTTGGAATTGCCTATAGATTCTTCTGCATTTAAATCAAATAGGCTACTTTGATGACCTTATTTTCATGTTAATAAGTCTGTATAGCACACAACCTTACCAAGAGATATAAGAACAAATCTAGTAATATATACACAAGACACATTAAATTAATTACTCTGCTCTCCAAAATGTCATAATGTAGAAGCAAACATCAAATACAATCAAATCACCAAAGATTGCTTTGTCCATTATACAAAAAGAACAAGATTAAATGGCAAATGAAAATCAATTACTTCTTTTTGTGAGAGGTTTTCCCTATATATACAATGTCCTCATTCTTCTCTTTGCATATACCAGGTGTTCTGTAGAAGTTTTTCAATCCTAATGATTTTATAGGTCACCTCCACTCCTACCAGATGCTTTTACACGATTAGCAGTTAGAAAGTGTTGTTTTGGTTCTCGCCAAATTCACATTTCTCCCATGTAGTGCATATTTAGGGACACAGAGTTTCACACAAATGTGTTCCAATTTTATTTTTAAAGGCAAACCTCCCACTTCATTGTTTTTGTTGCTTTCACTTTAAGATATGCATTTTAACAGGTATGCCAACATAGAAAAATGAAATTATAAAATGGAGTTTTGCAATTTGGAAGTCAAAATGGCATTTATTTTTAAAATGTATGTTGAGCTCCTGAATATCATATTTGACTACTTAAATCTTTGTATCTCCTTCGTCCTAGGATAAGTAGTTCAAGTTTACTTTCACATTGCCTGTATAGTTAATAACCTAAAATTTGCAGAGAAATACCATTTTTCCTGATTTCCATAAAGTTATTCTAAAATTTATGAAGTTCTTCATTAATTTCTTTAACACTTTCCATCATTAGATTTTCATAACTGCTATTCAGAGATGCTTACCTCTCAAGTAAGTTTTTTTAAATTAAACTATTAAGGACTTAAGTTGTGAGATAGTGGAATAAGTCTCATGCCTGTCCAGTATTACACCTCCCTCAGTTTACGAAAGGAATATTGTAAAGGCGGCTTGGAAAAGTCCTTCAAGGAGATATTTTTCAACTCATACAGTGCATAGAGATGTCGTACCCCTTTGAATTAAAACATAGTTTAATGTTAAGACTTCTTTAATCTATTTACATTTAATCTTATGGAAGGTAAATTACATCTTCATAATTAGCACTGTGAAGTATTTTATATAATTTGAATTTGTCTTAAAAACACCCACCATCTAGTAACAATTCTTTTTCTCATTTTCTAGCTAATTATGAGTCCATTTTCAAACTCTCAGTGCTTTTCGTAATCTGGTAGATGACTGATATTTTTATGAATAATAATATAAGCAGTGATATTGATGCCTAAGCATATGCAAATACCTCAATAGATACTTTTTCTTCAAGGTCTATACAAGTTTATAAGAAAAAGACAAATTAAGCTAATATAAAATACTAAATATTCTAAATATCACATAACTGTCAAAAAAAGATTATTTTCAAGTAGATGTCAGTTTTACAATGAGACATTGTAATTATTACTGTATTTTAGGCTTTTTTTTTCTTATTTTCCTTATGTCTCAAAGCTCTGATAGAAAATTCTCAACATAAAAAAGTGGGGTTTTGCACAAAAACAAGATTACGCTGTCACATTCTTTTCTAATCTACTTTTTGAAAATGTTTCTATTTATATTGCAGTATTCATAGCAAATGCTTTGGGTATGTATATCTTATGGAGGCACACATACATTCTGGGTGTTATTTATACCTCATAGTCCAATGTCATATATACTAAATTTAAACTATTTGTCTTAGATGCATTAATGTGTGTTTTCTTGTTTGAAACCAACCAGTGTCCCAATTTAAAAAGAAAATTTGTCTTTGGAAACTGGAGTACTATAATAGAATTTTTTTATAATTTTAAATGCACTAAATTCCTTCGAGTTCTAAGAACACTCAATATTTTATAACCTAGAAGTTTATTAGCATGTTATATTATTTTTAGTAAATATAATACACTTGAGATAGCAATTCTATAGTTACAACTAAGTCTTTTCCCTTCATTTTAATTTTTTTGTAGCATTCGTTTGTGAACTAAATCACTTTTAGGCATTTAGTTTAACACCATGAGATTCTGTATTCATATTAGCAGTATTTAAAAGAATATTATTAAGTCGGTGTTACCAGTTGGAATGAAGAACTAGGTTAGTGGGTGAAGGTGCATTTGAGGATGAGAAAAAACAGGGTAGGAGCAAAGCACGTGTAGAAAAGGGAAGATGAGGATCATCAGCCTAGCGGGGACGTGGGGCTCAGTATCCCTTTGTGTTCTTGTGTATCTCTTGATCCTGCCTGATTTCCCACAAAATTTCTGTAATATCTATAGTGCCCACCCATACAAGCTACACTCTCATTGTGAACAAAATGGAAATCAGAAGTTGTATTAATCCTGTTTCTCCAGAGAAACAGAACCAGTGAGATAGATATCTAGAGAGAGATACGTAGATACACGGAGATTAAGTGATACACAGAGAAACATGCATACAGAGAAATACACAGCTATAGACATGTATTATGAGGGATTGGTTTGTGTGATTATAGAGGTGGGAAGTCCCACAGTCTTGTCATTTGCAAACTGGAAAGCCAGGAACACCAGTAGTGCCGTACCAGTCCAAACCCGAAGGCTGGAGAATCAGAACTGGTGGTGTAAGTCCCAGTCTGAGTTCGAAGGTTTAAGAATGAAGAACGTTTCGTCTCGGTGCAGAAGATGGACATCCCAGCTCAAGCAGCGAGCACACGCATCCTTGCTCGCTATCCTTTTTGTTCTATTCAGACCCTCAACCAATCGAATGATGCGCACGGGTATCGGTGAGGGTGATCTTTACCCACCCAGTCCACCAATTCAAATACTGATCTCTTCTGTAAATGCTTCACAAGACAGACACACTCAGAACCAGCGTTTCACCGACCATCTGAGATCCCTCAGCCCAGTCAGGGGGACACATAAAATTAACCATCACAGTAGTGGTCTGAGTTTAGATGGTATGGTTTTATTTACACTTAGTATAATCTTTTCAGATTTCTCAATACAGAAAAATCAGCACCTGAAAACACTGAAGCAAAACTCTGAGGAAATTGCACAAACACCAGGGCAGAGCAGATACCTGGAAATAGTTGTTGCAGAAAAAAAGAAGAAGTAATTATGTGTATACATAAATGTGTTGGTCTTTTTTCATTATTTAAAATTTACTGAATAACTTATAAATGCTAGACTTTGTAGGACACAGTGAGGAAGCAGGCTAAACGTCAGCCTTCAAACTGTTTAGAATTTCAGTGAGCTCCAGGAAGACAAGATCTATCCACAAGAAACACAGGTAAATCCACAGTGAAGATATGCTAGGTTAAAAAGATAGAGATGAAATAATACCTCACTTAGTGAGGAAAAGACATCACCAAGGTGTGACATCACCAAGAGGGGAGAGTAGGAACTTCCAGCCCTCATACCCACCACACAACACCAATTTTAATAGCCACCTATGGACAAGAATACCTTTATGGAAGCTCAGAGGTTCCTGAATCTCAGTGGAGCAAAAAATCTGAGAATAGATACACTAAAGAAAGTAAAAAGTTGTGTCACTTTACTTCTTGGTCAGCGATTTCTCCTATAGGGGAAGTAAGAATTAAGTGATTACCCACCTTGTGGGATGTTACCCAAAAGGTCCACTTCTGACTCACCCCACCCGGAACACAAACACGATCAGTGTAGCTGAATACAGACATCCAGAAGCAGAGAAAAGGGGTGAAGGCTTATACAAACAGTGCATGGATCTCAACAGTCGCAGATCTGACTGGCTGACTGACTAACTCACAGACTCCACCAAGACCCTCTTTGCAAAATGCGCAGGACTGCCTTACCCAAGGACCCCCACAGCCAGCTGATAAACACCTCCAGCACTCTGCCCATACCCACTGGGACAGATACCCTGTGGTCTGCCAGGCTGCCTGAGTGTAACCCTCCTTAAATGGCACGTGTGAGCTCCTTCAGACAGCACACAGCTGTAAGCAGCCAGCTTACCTTTGCTGGGTTCGGGGAAGATGTGCAACCTGGAACACTTCAGGGCACTGACCTTGGGAAAATAAACTGGAGGCTCTCACACCAGACCTGCCTTTGTGAGACTGAGAAAAGGGACCCAGTCGACTTCCCCTCCCAGACAAAACAAGAAGAGTGGAGCTGGCACTCCCATAGAAAATGTCTAAGAGGCCAATAATAGTTATTTGCCAATTATGGGAGTTACCAAATACTGGAAATTTTGTAGCTCATACTCCGCTAAGGATATGCATTACATTATTATTATTATTATTATTATTATTATTATTATTATTATTAATCTTATTAGTAACCTTGTCAAAATGAATGATCTGTACCCTCTTACAGGTGAGCAAAATGATGCTCATTAAAGTGACATTTCTAGGCAACAGTTAACACACCTAAAAAGGGTGAACAAGGAGATTTGAAGGTAAAACGTGAGAATTCAAAGCCTTTACTTTCAACTTCTGTGACATATGGCTTCAAATAACAGCAAATCGACATTTGATAAGAGTAGCAAAAAAGAAGAAACAATTAATGCTGATTAGAGTGTGTACTGGAGTCTCCTGTGATGGATACGTAGTTAGTAATTTGTCATTCAGGCAATGGGAAGTCTGTGAACTCTTAAAAATAATGGGCAGACATAAAATGTGAATTAATGAAAGCTTATATCATCATATTTTGCCATATTATATCATAAGGTATAAGGGGCATAAGTCATAAAACTGAGAGAAAGATAGGACAGGGGAGTGTGTTGACAGTGGTAGCTGGGGTAGAGGGAGACATACGGGCCTGGGAGCCCAGGCATAGGCAGGGCAGGAGGAGCAAGGGATGCCTGCTATCAGGAGACAGCTTTGCTTTTCTTTCAGGTAAATATCCTGTATAGTATGAAATTCCTCTCAGTGGTGACTAATGACGTTAGTTTATTCTGAACTATGGCATAGTTGTAGTAAATTACCATTCCTAAATTCAAAGCTGATAGGATTTACATTAGAGAAAAAAATGAAAACATTATCTGGAATATATTTGTATCTTTTTTTTCTAAATCTATTACCTGATATTTTCTATGACATTTTCAAGTTCTTAAATCCAAGGAGTTGGAGGAAGTGGCAATATTATGTTATGTTTAAGTATTCGGTTATAGATTGTTTTCTGTTTACAATACAATCCCCACTCAGCCACTTTCTTACCTGTATGGTCTTGAGAAGGTTACCGGATAACTCTGACTCCAGTGAAACTGCAAATGGTTGTTGTGAAGATTAAATGAAGTAGTGCGGTGCAAGCGATAGCATATTGCTGGCAGAGTCACAGCCTAAAAATGATGGAAACACTCTTCTCAATATGGTGTGTATACTCGATCCATTTTTATTCAGATCAAAAATATATTGACTTTCAATTTATTAACAACAAAAACAATGTATTGCAACATTAAACAAATACTTATCAAGTGCTCATGTAGTAGCAGTTAATAGCAGTAGTTATTAACTGAGGAAAATCAGTTAAAAAAAGATAATTCTTACCTTTATGGTATTATATTTTAATCACTGGGATAATGTACATAATGCTGCAGTCAACATTGGGGTGTATATATCTTTTCAATTTAATGATTTTGTTTTCTCTGGGTAGCCAAGATATGGAGGCAACCAAAGTGTATTTCAACAGATAACTAGATAAAGGGGATGCGGTGCATACCTATAATGGAATATCACTCAGCCATAAAAAAGAAAGACATCTTGCCATTTGAGACAACGCGGATGAACCTACAGGGTATTATGTTAAGTGAAATGAGTCAGAGAAAGACGAATACTATACAATTTCACTCATATGTGGAAACTGAGAACAAAACCAAAAAAAAACGTAAACAGAGTAAACAGTCTTTTGGTTATCATAGTTGGGGGAAGAGGGCAGGCTAAATAAGTGAAGGGGATGAAGAGGTACAAACTTCAAATTACGAAATAATTTAGTCACAGGGATGGAAGTATAGCACAGGGAATATAGCTCATTATATTGTAAAATCTTTGGTGACAGATGGTAACTATACTTATCATGGTGAGCATTTTATCATGTATAGAATTGATGAATCACCAAGTTGTTCATCTGAAGCCTATATAATATTGTGTATAAACTATATTCAATAAAACACATTCTATTTTTAAAAAAAGGAAGTCACTAGGAAGCACTTCTGGAATGGCATTGTAAAGACTTTCAAGATTCTACTCTTTTTTAAGAGAAAATGATAATACTTGTCAAAAAGTGTCAAAATCAACTTTCACTTCTTTGGAAATCAGCCAAAGGCTTGCAGTAACCTGAGAAGCTTTTATTAAGGAAAAACAGATGCAAAAAGAAAAGCAAGTATTACAGCATTCTCAGTTATCCTATTCCTTTCCTTCCATTCCCAATATCAGCATAGTCTCAAAATACACTGCTTAAATAAAACAGCCTCACTGTCACAGAAACTGTAAAAGCCAATAGCCAAGCACCCTTGGAGTAGGCACAGTAGGTTTGGAGTTCCATCAAAAGGCCCAATCCCCCAAAATTGTCACTATTTGACCGTTTCAAAGTTTCTTTGGAAATCCCCCTTATTGGGCTTGTCTTAACTGACCTGAGATGTTACTCAGTGTGAACTGTCTTTTCCCTGGGTATGTCTTGAAAATAATGATCAATGATGTCCCAACATCACAGGTGACCAAGGAGGCAGTAACAAGACAAACAAGAGGCCTGCTGGAAACCTTAAAGCTGGACAAAAATATGTCCATCTGGGACTCTGAAAGTCTGAGGTGCAGTTCTGGGACTCTGGAGGGCCTTATGCACACGCAGTTGTGTGCACCCCCAGGCGTGGCCTGAGAAGGCCCTCATTTTTCATCTCTGCACAAGGCGCCAAGGCTATGATCCAGCAGGAAGTGAACAATAAAGAGCAAAGCTACAGAATACAGCATGAAGATTGGCTCCAGGACACACATAGAGCCCCTCAGAGAAAACTAGAAGGCAGTTTAAGGAATTTTTAGAAAACTGTCCAGTCATTAGCTGACAATTAAGCTAAGTGAGCAGAAACTTCAATAGCCACATGTGAGAAGGAATACAAACTTTACAGAATGTAGGAAAGTTGCTAAATAAACAAACAGCAGCAATGACAATAACAAATAGCAACGATAACAAATCTTGGGGAAGCAGTGAGAGAACATGACTTCAAGAGTCACTAAATTATATTTCTTAAAATGTCTATTTTTCAGTAAAAAAACATTCAGGTATGCAAAAGACAGAAAAGAAAGCATAGTCCATATACAGAGAAAAAAGGCAGTATAAACTGTCCTTGAGAGACCTAGGTGCTGAACTTATTAGAAAGACATTAATACCCAAATTGGTTTATTGAAAACAAATAAAATGTCAAATTACCTTAGCAAAATAAATAAATAAATAAAATAAAGAACACACTCAAATCACTGAAATCATTAATAAAATAGAGTTAATCACTTTCAACTGTAGGAAATACAAGGATCGTGAGAAAATACTAAGAACATTTGTATGCAATGAATCATGGAGCTGCAATGGATAAATTTCTTTAAAGGCAAATATTACCGATATTGACGCAAGAAGAAATAGAAAATCTGACTACACCAGTAACGAGATAGTGACTTAATAATCAAAAACTTGCCTGAAAGAAAACCAAGTCCCAGGTAACTTTACTGGTGAATTCTACCCTGGGTTTTAAACAAAATAAAACACCAATCCTTCAGAAACTCACAAAAATAGAAGAGGAGAGAAAACTTCCCAACACATTCTATGAAGCCTGTATTATTCTGATACAAAATTCAAATACATCTGAAGAAAATTAGAGAATAATATATCTTCGAATAGAGATGCAAAAATCATGAACAAAATTCTAGTAAAGTGCACCAGCCAAAAATGAAAAGGATTGAGCATCTCAGTGATGTAGACTTACCTTACAAGATGGGTTCCACATACAAAATCAATTGACGAATTTCACTGTCAGTGGAAGAAAGAACAAAATCACATGATCATCTTAGAAGATTTAGAAATGTATTTGACAAAAGAAACTACCTTGCAAGAATAAAAATTAAACAAAACAAAAACTCAAAAAAACTATGAAACTTCCTCAACCTGGTAAAGGATATCTATGAAGAAGACGCCATTAACATCATACTTAATAGTCAAAACTGAACACTTTATCCCAAGATCCGGAAGAGTCCTGTCATGTCTGCTTTATCATTTTGATTTCACATTGTTCTTGAGGTTCTAGTCAGAGAAACTACTGAAGGAAAAAAAAGGCATGTTGACTGTAAAGGAAGAAGTAAATTCTCTTTATTGGCAGATGATTTGATCTTACATGTAGCAACTTCTAAGGCATCCACAAAAAACTTCGAAATTTTATAAGGAATCCACAAAAAAGCTTTTGTTCAGCAGGGTTGTAGTATATAAGATCAATACACAAATTTAATTGTATTTCTATACATGAGCAAAGAGCAATCCAAAAATGAATTTAAGAAAATTATTCTTCTTGAAATAGCATCAGAAAAGAGCACAAAGCTGAGGAATACATTTAACAAACAAAGGGAAAGACTTGTACACTGAGATCTATGAAAAAGCATTGATGCAAATTAAAGAAGACAGAAATAAATGTATCCAATATTGAGAGACTAGAAAAATAAATATTGTTAAGATAGTAA